GACAGCCTCATCGTCCCGATACGCCATGCGTATCCGATCATATAGATCCGTTGTCACCCGCGTGATGTGGGGCAACTCATAGTCAGGACGCCGAGAGAGGGCGTCCGCGAGCACGTTGAGCTTGCCCGGCTTGTATTCGGCGCGGAAGTTATATTCCGCGAAGAAGGACAGCCACCTCGCCATCCTTTGGGAGAGGTGAGGCGTGTTAGTCGCCGTCCTCAAGGACGCGTGGTCTGTGTAGATCACAAAGGGCCTAGAGCCCAGAAGGTGAACACGAAACTTCACAAGGGCATATTTCATTGCCAGGAGCTCCTTGTCGTGGACAGGGTAGTTCCGCTCGGCGGCTTTGAGTTGCCTGGACTGGAACGAGATGACTCGTTCGTGTCCAGCCGTGTCGGCCTGCACCAATGCACATCCGATGGCGTAATCGGAGGCATCGCAGACGACGCTAAACGGCTTCGTCTCGTCCGGCAGGGCCAGGACAGGGGCCTCTTGGAGACCGGCCTTGATGCTGTCAAAAGCATCCTACTGCTCCTGCTCCCGGCGCCAGTCGACGTCCTTCTCAAGGAGACTCGACAAGGGCTTAGCGGAGACCGCGTACCCTGCGCTGTACTTGTGAAGGTAGTTGGCCAAGCCTAACCACTTTCGAAGATCCTTCTGGGATCGGGGCATCGGCCATGCTGCTATGGCCTTGACTTTGTCTGGGTCAGCCCGAACGCCCACGTTGCAAACGAAGCAACCGAGAACATTAATCTCTGGTGACGCGAAAGCGCACTTGTCGATATTGGCGTAGAGCTTGTTCGCTCGCATTACGTCCAACACTCGACGGAGGTGTCCTAGGTGCACTTCCATGGCCGTCTTGCCTCCTTCGGCACGGCTATGGACGAATATGTCGTCAAAGTACGTCTGTACGAAGGTACGCAAAGGGCGGAACAATTGTGTCACCAGGCGATTGAACGTCGCCGGGTCGTTAGACAAGCCCTGCGGCATGACGAGCCACTCCCAAAGCATGCCACTTGGAGTGCTTACCGCGGTGAGCGGGTTGTCGCTCTCTCGCATCAGGATTTGGTAGTATCCGTCTACCAAATCCAGCGCACTATACATTACGCTCCCGGCCATGTTGTTCAACAACACATCCTTTCGTGGGATTGGTGTTTGGGCCGGCACCGTTGCGTTGTTCAGCTTGTTATCAGCGTGAACCAGACGCCACTTTCCGTTCGGCTTACGAACGCAGAAAGTCGGCGTCGAGTGCGGGGATTTCGACTCCCGCACCATGCCTGCCTTCGCTTTCGCGGCGAAGAAGGCATCAATGACCTCGCACTGTTCGCGCGGGAGAGGCCATTGCCTCGTAACACAATACTTTGTGCCGGGCACGAGATCAATCTCGTGCCGTACGCCTCGATCCGGTGGGAGTTGGGTCGGTGGGTGTTTGTTCACCACGTCCGCATACTCCGTCACCAAAGGATACACCGGATCCTTGGGGTTTTTAAGAATCTCAGAACCCAAGCGCGCCTGACGCTGCTTGTTCAGGTCTTCCAGGACATTCTCGTCCAAAACAGAGGAGGAGTTCAGCTCCCCCCGAGTGGTCTCAGGTCTTATGAGCACCATCTCAGCAATCTCTCCAGCCTTGATGTTGGTCAGGAAAGACTCAGCCGTCATTTCCTCGAGGAGCAGTATCTCTGCAACCTCTGGCAACGGTTCCAAGTGGACACCAGATGCCTTGACGGGTAAACCGGTCTCACCATCGAAGATGTGATAACACTCTTCCACCGGCCTTGTCGGAGGAGCCCGGGCCCTGGACTCCGAGTCGCTTAAAGCGACGTCGATCGGAACGAAGTTCGGATCCGACTTGAGGCGGCGGCGGCGTCGTTGACGACGGCGACCGTGACGTCGGGCTTTGCTGCCTACGTCTAGGGATGTCGTCGCTACGACATCCGAGGCACTCGTGGCCTCGTGTGGTACTGTTGTACCCACACAGGAAGCGTGTTCAACGCCTTCCTCTTCAGTTAAGGTCTGGGCGACCGCGTGTGGCACTGTGTTACCCACACAGGAAGCGTGTTCAACGCCTTCCTCTTCAGTTAAGGTCTGGGCGACCGCGTGTGGCACTGTGTTACTCACACAGGAAGCGTATCCGACGTCTTCCTCTTCAGTTATGGTCTGGGCGACCGTGAGTGGAACTCTGTTACCCACTCTGAACACGCTGTTCTCAGTGTTCATGACAGCTGCAGCTGTCTGCGGAACTAAGCTACCCGCCTGTGGACCTAAGATACCCACTTTGCCAGCGCCTCTTCTGGGCGCTGCCACCATCAAAGCATCCTCGGAGTCGTCATATACGTCGACGCCTCCCAAGCATCTGCCAAATGCTTTGGTACCGTGGCAGCCTTGCGGGCGCCCCGGGTCCTGACAGAGGTGGA